CAACCGTTGATGAGGCCGGCGCTGCTGCCCCGCTGCCCGCGCTCCTGCTGCCCGCCCTGGTGCTCCACTCGCCTGCTGCTGTTCCCCTGGCTTGTGAAGGCCTGGCAGGGAAGGGAGGGGAGGGAGGGCAGGGCGGAAAGGAAAGGCAGCCGAAAGTAAGAGGGGTTGCAATTGAGAAAACTGTCAAGCACACGTGCAACAGCAGAACGACAGTGCATGTGACGCCACCCCACAAGAGCCGCTACCAACCTGCACCTGCACCTGCACCTGCACCTGAACCTGAGGGGGAGTGGGCTCGAGTGGAGTGTGGTGGCAGGGGCGATACTGCAACCTCAACCGTTGATGAGGCCGGCGCTGCTGCCCCGCTGCCCGCGCTCCTGCTGCCCGCCCTGGTGCTCCCCTCGCCTGCTGCTCGCCTGCTTCTGGCTCCTCCTGGCTTGCGCTCACCTGACAGGCAGAAAGGGCAGGGTGGGGAGGGCAGCGAGGGGAGTGCCGTGAGGAACGAGGTGAAGGCAGCGAGGGAGGGCAGGGGAGGGCAGGGCGGGGCGGGGAGGGAAAGGCAGGTAGGGCGGGGAGGGCAGCGAGGGCAGGGCGGGGAGGGCAGTCTGTGTGTCAAGCAGTCAATGGTTCAAGCAGTCAACGGTGCAAGCAGTCAACGGTGCAAGCAGTCAACGGTTCAAGCGGTCAACGGTGCAAGCAGTCAACGGTTCAAGCGGTCAACGGTTCAAGCAGTCAACGGTTCAAGCGGTCAACGGTTCAAGCGGTCAACGGTTCAAGTGGTCAACGGTTCAAAAGTCAACGGTTCAAGCAGTCAACGGTTCAAGCAGTCAACGGTTCAAGCAGTCAACGGTTCAAGCAGTCAACGGTTCAAGCAGTCAACCGTTCAAGCAGTCAACGGTTCAAGCAGTCAACCGTTCAAGCAGTCAACAGTTCAAGCAGTCAACGGTTCAAGCAGTCAACGGTTCAAGCAGTCAACGGTTCAAGCAGTCAACCGTTCAAGCAGTCAACAGTTCAAGCAGTCAACGGTTCAAGCAGTCAACGGTTCAAGCAGTCAACGGTTCAAGCAGTCAACGGTTCAAGCAGTCCAAGGTTCAAGCAGTCAACGTTTCAAGCAGTCAACGGTTCAAGCAGTCAACGGTTCGGGTTCAAGCAGTCGACGGTTCAAGCAGTCAACGGTTCAGGTTCAAGCAGTTGACGGTTCAAGCAGTCAACGGTTGAAGCAGTCAACGGTTCAAGCAGTCAACGTTTCAAGCAGTCAACGTTTCAAGCAGTCAACGTTTCAAGCAGTCAACGGTTCAAGCAGTCAACGTTTCAAGCAGTCAACGGTTCAAGCAGTCAACGGTTCAAGCAGTCAACGGTTCAAGCAGTCAACCGTTCAAGCAGTCAACGGTTCAAGCAGTCAACGGTTCAAGCAGTCAACAGTTCAAGCAGTCAACGGTTCAAGCAGTCAACGGTTCAAGCAGTCAACGGTTCAAGCAGTCAACCGTTCAAGCAGTCAACAGTTCAAGCAGTCAACGGTTCAAGCAGTCAACGGTTCAAGCAGTCAACGGTTCAAGCAGTCAACGGTTCAAGCAGTCCAAGGTTCAAGCAGTCAACGTTTCAAGCAGTCAACGGTTCAAGCAGTCAACGGTTCAGGTTCAAGCAGTCGACGGTTCAAGCAGTCAACGGTTCAGGTTCAAGCAGTCGACGGTTCAAGCAGTCAACGGTTGAAGCAGTCAACGGTTCAAGCAGTCAACGTTTCAAGCAGTCAACGTTTCAAGCAGTCAACGTTTCAAGCAGTCAACGGTTCAAGCAGTCAACGGTTCAAGCAGTCAACGGTCCAAGCAGTCAACGGTTCAAGCAGTCTGTAAGGAAGCAGCCGAATGTCCAGGCATTCTGTGTTGCACTTAGCTTTAAAACGAGTGATGCTGGGCGTCGCAGACTGGGGAGATGAGCGCCATGCTTCTCGCTTCCGCGGATTCGCCTCCACGCCATGATTGATGCTTCTCCGCGGATTCGCCTCGCCTTCAGGGCGGTTTGATTGATTTCTGCACATTTGAACGCTAACTTAAATTAGAATAGTATTTGGATTAAGAACGTGGCGAAAAGTAGTTAACGTGGTTGATGTGAAGATTCTGGGAGTAGCAGCGCACCTGATGCAGGGAATGCGCGAATCGAGGAGGCGATCCTCCCTGTGATTCCGCATAGCCACAGCTACGCCGGCGATTCTGCTTAGCCTCGCGATTCCGCTTAGCCACGCGATTCCGCTTAACCGTGTCGCGAGCTTCGAGCATGAATGAGGTGATCAGCCGCGCTCGTGGAGGTCGCAGCAGGAGGGACTCTCGAATTCGTCGCTGCTGATGGAACAAGTCGCTTCAAACGCAAATAGATTGCAACACATGTCTGCTGACGGCCGAGATTTCTGGGAAGGTCGAGCATCTCTTCCGACCGCCAAAGTCGTTGCAGTTACCAAGAAAACGCTGCCGCTGACATTGCACTGCTGACGAGGAGGAGATTCGTTTCCTATCGCAAATTCCGCTGACAAGCGGCTTTATTGTTGACAATAGTAACACGAATATGCTGACAGGGAGATACGTTTCTGCCGGCGAAAACTGCTTCCGACGAGGAAATCGAAGCTAACGGAAACGATGTTGCTGGTGGCGGAGAGAACGGCGAAAACTGAAGCTGACTGCGGAAATCGCTGCTAACGTCGATACTCCTTTGTTGACGTCGATGCTAATCGCTAGTCGGCGGAAATCGTTGCTGGCGATAATTGTAACTGCTGAACGTAGAAACCGCTGCTGATGGTGAGGCTCGCTGCTAACTGCGATTCGCCGCTACCTGCGAGCATCGTTGTTGCCGTCGGAGATCATAAGCCGGAGTAAGAGCGGCCAAATCATTACTGCTGACCGCAGAAATTGCTGCTGATGGTGAAATTCTCTGCTACCGGCGGAGAACGCGGCTGACGCCGAGAATTGCTGCAAACGCCGAGAATTGTTGCAAACGATGCTGGAATGTACGGTTTGCTAGGCGAACGAGAGCGATCTGCAATTAACGCGAAGTGCTTCACGGCATACGCGGATGAAGGAATACGCAGGTCGCAGAGGCGAGATGAGGGAGGTTGTGAAGAGAAATGAATTTGCGTTGCGAAGATGAAGAATGGGGTCGAGTTGAGTGAGAATGGAGAACGTTGCTCACGCCGTTGTGAGTCCCAGTCTAACAGAATCTCGAATGTTGACTTCGGTTGAGATGGTTGTGGCATGGTTCGGTCATGATGTGGTCTGGTTTCTCCCAGTTTCCGCAGGGCCCCCACAGAAAGGGTTCAGCTAGGCCTGAAGTTTCCCAACCAATCCGGCGACGGGCAAAGGGACTGCGGAGGGACCACCGCCGACAAAAACATTCGCGCCAATATTGCCCGCTTGTGTGGATGCAAACGGGCAAATCGCGGAGTTACGAACTGCGGAAAACACTGCACGAAGTTCGTTTCGCGAAAAGGACTAACACTGGCGACGACGTGGCATTCTCGCATACGGGAACGATGGACATTCGCGAGAGTGGTGAATGTGGGTTGGCCCAATGGTTGGGTCTGGACTCTGGGATATCAGCGGGCTTGCGGATGCGCCTCCCTAAGAAGCCTGACACACCACGCTCGATGCGGAGATCTGGGGGTTATGCGGGGTGCCTGTTCAGAAAGCGGGGCTGCTGATCCTATGGTTTGGCTGCGGGCGGCGGGAATTGGGGAAATTGGGGAGACACTTGACGACTCTGATCAGGACGCGGCACCTGTTTTGTGGAAGCTACGATCGATCGTGGCTGGGGATCGATGTGCCACATGTACAGTGTGTTGGCGCATCGCCAATGTCTGGTATCCGTTTTTCGCAGGACGTCGAAAATCTACAGTAAACGGCTACCCAAAATGGGTGGCACCTGCAGCTCGCACGGTGGAGGTGCCGATGTGCACACAGCGATCGTGAGTTTAGGTTGGTGGGAGAGCACATCGAGCCACAGGTGACAGCCGCGATCGGTCGGCGTCGCCAACGGTCGCAGTCCCAGAATTTCTGAGTCGCTGCGAATGAAATTGCTGGGCGATCAACCACGCTCTGCCCTTATTGGCTGCGCATTGCACTGTTTGGTGTACTCCGCCGCGGCTCCAACCTGCCCGATCCTGCAATTTCGATCCTGGCACTTATAGATGTGTCAGCCCCATTGCAAATTTGCAGTGTGGGCACATCGGTGTGCCGATCGATGTGCCAGGATCGATGTGAGGCCCCGATCCTCTCTCGATCCTGGAAAAATGCAAACATGTGCCGCGTCCTCAGATTTCGACGGCATCATGCTGCAAATCTTCGTGATCCAACGGGCCAGATGTAATGCACCAGAAGCAGCTGCGGCCTTAGTTGAACACCTCAGCATTCGTCGGAATTAATCAGTGTACATGGATATACTCTCAATAAAACATATTGGAACATATTGGCACTAGGAGAATTCGTGCATTCATGACATCACAAATTTAGTGCTCATCATGTCTACAGAAGTACACATACTGATTCACCTGAGTCAGGCAGGTAACTAATTTTGCAGGAACAAAAATAGCCAAGCTTTTTCTGCATGCTAGAAGCAAGTAAACCCTCATCAACACAATCCACACATCATAATTCATGATACGGTAGCACATACGGTAGTAAGGCAGAAGCAGCAGCAGCACCACCATCAGTAGATACATCAGGAGAGAAAGCCCACTGCATCCTCGTCCATCACGTAGTTCTCATTAAACAGCTGGTACACCGATCGCTCTTGAACATTCTCAACGGTGACCTCCTCTGCTACAGCCTCTCACTGCTACTGCACCCCCACACCCCCACTGCCCCGCTAGAGCTCGCTGAGTTCCTCATCCATCACATCGATCTCGTCAAACAGCTGGTACACCGACCCCTCTGCCCTCCCATGCTACAGCCTCTCCCTGCTACAGCCTCTCCCTGCTACAGCCTGCACCCTCTTCCAGCTGAAGCACCTCTCCCCCTTCACAGCTCGCTGAGTTCCTCGTCCATCACATCATTCTCATCAAACAGCTGGTACACTGATCGCTCTGCCCTTGGCCGGAACCTGTGCAGCACCCACACCAGCAGCAGCAGCAGCGCCGCCTGCCACAGCGCCTGCGGTAACCAGGTAACCAGGTCGTACGGCAGGCACCAGCGCAGCAGCACGGACACCGCCCCTGCGAGCAGCAGCAGCGCGCACGCCTGCACGTAAAATTTCTCCAAGGGACCGTCTGTGTCCCTGTCGTCTAGGGCATAGCTGCTGCCACCACCACCTCCACCCATGCGTTTCATGCCTCCCCCGCCGCCGCTGCTGTTGGCGCCGGGACGGCGGGAGGCGAGGCATTGGAGGCAGGAGAGGAGGAGGGCGAGGAAGAGGAGGAGAGTGATGACTGCGACTGCTGCTGCGAGGAGGAAGAAGAGGAGCGGGCGAATGACGGAGAGAACGACGGTGAACGACGGAAGGGTGTCCGGAAGCAACGTGGACGTCAACATGCTGCCTCCAGTCACTGCTGCGCTGCTACTGGCGCTGCTGCTGGCGGTGCTTGTAACGGAGGTGCTTACAACGAAGCTGAGGCTGTCCGGGGACACGAGGGAGAGTCCGAGCAGCGAAACAACCGTCGCAGGCACCGCGAAGAACAGCACGGCGCGCTCTAGATCGGACATGTACGGGTCTATACTGCCAATCCCGGCGAAAAACGCCGCTAGGAGCAGCGCCATGCACACGACGAGGAGAACATCCGCTGCGAGGTCGATCCCTGGGCTGCTTCCTGTGGACTGCTGCACGAAGAGACGCGCGGCCAGCGCGAAGAAGAGCGCGCCGAGCGCCGGGAGAAGCGCTGTGAGGAGGAGGTGGAAGGTGAGGGGGACGACGGGGTGGAACCAGATTTTGAGGACGTGTGCCAGCCACGCGCACAGCACGGCGAGACACGTCAGCCCGCAGATCGCGTGCACGAACGCGAGCGCGATGGTGCCTGCGGAGAGGTAGTATTTGACCGGCGGCGCGTTGGCGGGAGCGCCGGGATTAGTGTTGTATAAGGAGAGGGAGACGTGCGCGGAGAGGAGACGCGTCGGCGCGCAGTTCACCATGTAGACTCCGTAAAACCCGGCGCCAGGCACGAAGACCTGGATCGTCTTAGTCGGCCGCTCGGAGCCTTTCTTAGGAGCGTCCATTTCCATCACGCTGAAAATCTTCGTAATGTTGAGACTCGTTAACGGACAGAAGCCACCTACTGTACCGTTTCCTGAATTTACCCCGGGAACGATCCCCGTCTCCACCTCCCAAGCAGCTGATTGGCTGGCGAGAAGGAATCCCATGGAATACGTGTCAGGAGCCGTTGATTTTTCCGGAGAGTACACGCGGAGATGCGAGACGGAGAGATCGACGATCCCATGACCGTTAAAGCCGAATCGGCCGAGCAGAACCCACGGCGCGTTGCTCAAAGACACTTCGATCTCGCGAATTTCGGCCGCTGCGCGATGGATGCTGGCGAATAGCAACGCGAACGCGACGAGAAGGCGGAGCGGTGAGAGGAGAGCAGCACGCGATGGCGCGGTTCGCCGAGACGACGCGCGGTTGAGTTGGCTGTGCTGCAAAAGTCCACTGATTGGTTGCTGCGCCGCGGCCATGGAGAAGCGACGGGTGATATGACCCATGGGTGTGGGTGACGAACAGGCCGATCCCGGTAGGTCTGACGGATGGCTCTGGTGTAGACTAGCCACGAGACATGGACAGCGGAGGTATGGAGAGAATCCGAGCTACGAGGTGTGGAGCGAGAGGTAAGTACGCGTCGTAAATTCGAAACCTAACTGTGGAGAATTCGGGCGGAGTCGATTAGCTGCTCGCAATAAAGACCTACGCCCACCGTAGGAAGAGAGTCGCGCCACACAGGAGACGGGCCCAACCTCGCAAGATAAGAAACTCGGGATTCCCGAGAACTGGTGAAACGGGCCAAATGGGCCAAACATGAAGCCTTCCTCGTTGTCCTAATCTGGTGCTATGCGACGAAGAACCAGGAAACGTGCTCGATCTAAACTGGTCCTGCTAGAGCGTATGTAGATGCTTGTAGGAAGCAATGGACGGTTGGGCTGATTATTGTAATGAGATTTACTGATTTGATACCAGACCTCCCATATTCTTTGGAAGCAATTTCCCCTGCTGTTGGAAGCCATCTGGCCTCGTATCTCTTTGTGCAAATCAAGATAAAGGGATAAGCACAACATGAACCTTTCTATTTTAGGCTTGCGTAACAACCTTGCCAAGTTTGGCGTCAGCAAACCAGCATGTCCAGAAAGCAGACAGTGTAGTTCTTTAGTAGTGGACGACGATGTAGTAGATGCTGCTAGTGAGTCCTGTGATGCTGACGAAGATCGCAAAGACAATCATGAAATATGCAAGCTTTCGTTCCCAATCGACGACAACACCAGACTTATCACTGCAAAACAGAATCACAAACACCACCATGCAAGTTTAGGAGGCAGTGCAAAGGGACATGCAAGCGCATGAATTGGCAGAAGCAGCAAAAAACTTGTAAAACTGATCCTGACCTGAGTGCAAGCATGGCTGGGATGAGCATGCCAACAACCATGGTGCACGTCGCGCCTGTGATGTTGAACGCCAGTGTCATGTTGGGTATGACGGTGGCGCCAATGTAAATGAGCACCAGCTCCACAGCTGTGGACAGCCAGAATCGCTTGTCATCGTCCACCAGAGGCGTGATAGCATTGGGAAAGAAGAGATCGTCCACAGTGTTCCTCAGCGAGTAGAAGATGACAGGGAAGACAAAGATCAGGTGAAGAATGTACGTGATCCGCACAATGTCGTTCACGGCTTCACTGTTCTCAATCCCAAGGTCTCTGTCGAAATTGACAAGCACGTCATTGGCGGTGCTGGCACCAAAGAGGAGGTACCCCGAGACGGATGTGAGGAGATAGACAATGGTACAGAGGCTCATGGAGTAGCGCGTAACCTTGAGCATTGTCTTCTCGTTGCGTTCTTGCAGCTCCACATAGATAGGATGAACTATTAAAATCCAGCAAGAAACAGGATCCACAGGATTACAAAGAGCATCAAGGTCGCAAAGACAGAAGAAATCTGGCAGCAAATGCATTCAGCTGTGGTAAAGGAGAAGGTCGTGCAGGTGTAAGATGAACGAACATACCATTGAAATGACAAACATAGGCAGTAGCCATGATCTGCAGGCATCAGAAGTTACAGACATTACAAGATGTCAGACTTTGCAAAGTAGACACTAAGTAGAAACAAGTGGGAAGAAGAGAAGCACGGAAAATACGATGTCATTGACACTAGACGTATTTTGATGAATCTGCCTGCAGTACCTTCTCTCTCCCAGCACAGCATCTATGCACTGCCCGCCTTTTTTCACCTCTATTTTGCCTGTTCCCTCGATTTCCCTCCACACGTACCGGGATGACGCCAAACAAGGCCATGATTGCGTTAGATGAGCTCAAGTCTGGCAAAAAGCTGGGCACAGGTAGCGTGCCATTGTTGATGTTGATTGCTGCAATAACGACTGTGATTATGACGAACACGACCGCTAGGAGCACGGCGAGAAATGATGTGTATTGCAATGTGTCTGCGGAGAACGAAAATCGTCGGGGCAAAAGAAATACAGGAAGAATTTGGAAGAGAATATACGAGCACAAAGATTCCGGGTAAGGATTAGTTTTACATAAATCTTGACTTGGCGCTTGGCAGGAACACGAAATGAACACAGAACGTCGAGGTCTTACCAACGTGTCTGAAGGAGAGAAGTGGGAGCAAGCAGACGATGATGATTATAAAGAGAACGAAGTGTCTTCCTGTCCACCACGCGGATTCGCCTCCATTCCACGTCATGAACATTCCCTCGTGATAGTCGCCTCCTGCCGTCGTGCCCGACAGCACATCGGCTGTTACACGAAAAGAGAGAGCACAGGGGGGAAAAGGATGCAGAGAACGATGAGCGTTGTTCACCGGAGAGAACGATGAGCACCGGAGAACGACGAGAAACCGTTAGGGATTGGAATGGATGAACGAAAATCCTTAACGAGAACCACATACGGGCCCTAGAAATCGCCTTACCGCAAATGATAAGGTAGACGATGCAAACGCCAAAGTTAATGATGACAATGGAGATGTCGAGCACGAGTCGCCAATTGTTGCCATGAACCTGATGCACTAAATCACTGTAAGACCAGACGTGCTGAACCGTCGTCGTTCGAACTAGAATCTCGACAGAGATCTCGGTTAAGATCCCCATGGCTATTAAGACTAAGACTCCAAGCGGTAGACCAAGAGCTTTCATTGTAGCCGGTAATCCCATGATTCCCGCGCCGATTATTGAAGTTGACAGGTTGAACACACCGCTCGTGACCGTCGCGCCCTTGAAGCCATGGTGTCCTGCTGCCATGCTTTGAGACCGCTGGAAGTGAGGCTCGGTCCTCAAGATCGGAGCGACATCCCTCTCTGGCGATAGACCATCTGATTTCGGGGCCTCTACTCCAGAGGCAGAATCCGGCCCCATGTCGATCCCAAAGGGCTGCATCTTGAATGTGCTAGTTAGTGGTCTGGACCTATGGAAGTCTGCTAAGAAGTAGTCGCGATGGTTTAGTCGAACCTAAGTTGTACGTGAAATAGCTACGCGTGAGCAGTCGGCAACAGGAAAGCGATTATTTGCGAAAAAAGGCAAGTCTTTGATGTGCTGCGTGGCTTGGTCGGAGAAGGGAAGGCGCACACACTGAGGAAATTGGCACTTCTAGTGGAAGACGTGTGATTTCACTGGAGTCCTTCTGCGCCGTTTTGTGTGCCCACTGCGAGGAATGCCTGCAGAGGAGCTACACAAAACTCAACTTCCTTTTCGTGCCCGCTTATGAGCAGCTCCACACTGTTGTTGCTGGTTGGTTCGGGTTGGGGGCAGGTATCCAAAGGTCCAGAATGTCACAGATCTGAAAACATGGCCCCACAAACCGCCGTTGTTGAGTTTCCTAGGCGGAAAGCGATCGCACGGTCTGAATGCGAAAACTAAGTGTGAATGCAAAAGTCGAGGCTGAGTAATACAAATACTGTAACAGTATGGTGTGGGCAGCGAGACACGGTGGAAACATCAGGTTCGGGCATTGAAATGATTTCCGATTGTGGCGGGGACAAGAAATCTCCTGAGGCGGCCCGCGAAGAGCGGAGCAAATAGGCGGACCGTCATCTGCCCCCAGGAACACAAACAGCCCCTCTCATATAGCATGCGGCTCGGAAGGCACTAGCCCCTGAAGTGAACGCGGCTGCCCCCCAGGGACTGGAGGTAAGGACCTGCCGTTCGAAACTGGTTTGGTTTTCCTTCTGGCCCTTCTGGCACAAACGCGATGGCCAAACGCGATCAGGGATGGCCATTGGTCAAACACCAGGTTCTGGCTGCCCGGATACAATGTGCACAAACAAAGCAAAACAGATCCGAGGTCATTTTTAGTGAGAAGAACAATTATTGGGGTTGGACATGCCATCTGAAAACTGGAACAAACCCTTCAACCCCTGGAAAACGAGTTGCTACCACCCCAGCAGTTCGCGCTACTCGCTACAACAACGCTCGTTGCTACACTAACAAATTAGTGATGGACTGAAATCTCAGAACATATATATGATCTCTGTCAAGCATGAGAATACCCTAGAAGAAACTAAAAAAACATGGTGTTGAGAAAACATTGACAGAGCTAAACAACAATAATTTGGTGAACGAATAAAACATTCTTATAAATGATGTATATAAGATATATTTAAACTAAACGTGTGGAAAACCATATGAAACTTAACTAGATCCGATTATTAAGTTTAAGCCTGAAAATTTCAGAAAATATCTAATTGATAATTACCCGTTTTGTGGAATATTTGTGTTCAAATAGATTTAGACCCTAGAAATGTTTAAGTGGATAATTCTTGATATTAGCTACCTTCATTCTATTATACATGTTGCTCATGCAGCCGCCACCATTAGATTTGATGCAAAAGCAATCACCCTCCCTGCTCCTGTGAACCTTCGACCCACTCGGCTCTAGTGGTCCTGGAATCAGGGTTAGCCTTCTCCCTGAGCTTCATTTCTAGTTCGCAGGATGAGCACCACAGCGAAGACACCGACCGACTTTCTGAAAGCCATTCGCGGTCGACCAGTCGTCGTGAAACTGAACTCTGGCGTCGATTATCGAGGTGGGAAAGCACATGACTGCTCGCCTGACGCCATGCTGGGGTCATGGCATGGAAGTATCGTATCATGGCATGTATCGGTTGGTCACTTACTTGGCGACGTCAATTGCGCTTCTTGCAACTCTTCCTCTCGTCGTCAAGAGTATAGGCGTTTGCGATGCCCTCTCTAGACCCTTTTTCCCTATTGCGATTTCACCCCATACCTTTTTTCCCCATTCTCATCCCCTCCCGCTGTGATCGCTTGTTGGCTCGCCCGGCGTATTTCCTGTATGGATTCGTCTCCAACGGGTGCGCGTGTTTGGTTTGGATTCTTTTTTAAGAGCCTAACCACTTGTCCGTCGCTCCATCCTCCCCTTTATCGCACTCACTCCTTGCAGGAATTCTTGCATGTCTGGATGGCTACATGAACATTGCCATGGAACAGACGGAGGAGTATGTGAATGGACAGTTAAAGAACAAGTATGGCGACGCCTTCATCCGTGGAAATAACGGTGAGCTTGCCGGCTTCTCCTTTTCTGCCATGTTCACGTGTGGACATAGACCAGGAGTCAATCTTTGCAAGCTTGGCCGAGTAGTATTTCAGCTGCCATGACTTGCAGCTGCTTGGTTCGTGTGGTCTTACTCATATATTTTCTTCCATATTGTATGTCTGTTTCTGTCATGCAGTTCTTTACATCAGTACAACAAAAGCTGTAACGGATGCTCAATGAAGCTGCGTGACTCCCCCCGTCAATCATTGTGGTGGCTGTAATGGCTTTTGTTATATTGCTAACAGTTTCTTGTACTGTGGCCAAAATTGTTTGGCGGAGGGGAGTTCTTCCTAAATCTTCTCATGTTCACTAGGTTGGGTGGGTGGGAGCCAGCTAATAGCTCCTTCAACCTTGCTTACACTGGCAGCTGTAGGAACTGCCGTTTTGAGAATGTCTAAAAAAGTTGCATTTGTATTAGCAAACTGGACTTAGCTGTAAATGCGTGAGCCTGGTATAGACTTGCTTTACTGCTCCAAGTTCTCCGGTAAGTTATCAAATTGCCGTCTTTTATGCAAAATCGGTTGTGTAACAATGCAATTATACACTTCCAGTTATACACTTCTAGCCAGTTTCGACAGGTCAACTACATGTGACGGTGTGCACTGGTTTTGTGACTGCCGATTTGGTGAAGGGTGACAGTAACGAGCGTTTTGAAAATGTTGTCCCACTGGCCATCTGGTTGGGTCGCGTGTTTTCCCCCCAGATCCTGGCTGCAGCAACCAACCAGTGCTGTTGTTGATGTGTCGCCTTGCAGACTTCCAGAAAGACGTCAAGAGCACATCAAGCCTCTTCTGGTTTCCAAGCTCCCAGCACTCTCGCTCCGATAGTTTGATCTTCTTCGCTCCGCCTTTCTAGATCTTGCCGCCATGAAGAGTAACAAGGCTGACGACGACTATGACTACCTTTTCAAGGTGGTCCTGGTCGGCGACTCTGGCGTCGGAAAGTCTAACCTGATTTCGCGGTTCACCAGAAATGAATTCAACATGGAGTCGAAGTCGACTATCGGTGTGGAGTTCGCCACAAGAAGCATTGAGGTGCGTTACCTCTACTTCGTCTGTTTGTCTATGGAAAAGTGCTATGCGCTCAATTCTTACCTCCTATATTGACACCCGTTATCAGGTTGACGGCAAGACCGTGAAGGCCCAGATCTGGGATATGGCAGGTCAAGAGCGTTACAGAGCCATTACGAGTGCGTATTATCGTGGTGCTGTTGGAGCTCTTTTGGTGTACGACATTACGAGGCAAGTGACTTTTGACAATGTGGAGCGTTGGCTGAAAGAGCTCCGCGATCATGGCGACCAGAGCATCATTATCACTTTGGTCGGAAACAAATGTGATCTGCGGCATTTGCGAAAGGTCTCTTTGGAGAAGGGCCAGGCCTTCGCAGGTAGGTTTGGAAGCTTGTCGCCTTCGGTTTGCGGCTTATGACATCGTCTGACAGCTTTCTCATTCCCCTGCAGAGAAGGAGGGCTTCTTCTTCATTGAGACATCAGCCCTCGATGCCACCAACGTCGAGGACGCCTTTACTCAGATTTTAACCGAGATCTATTGGATGATGAACAAGAAGGCGTTGGCACCCGACGAAGATAACTACGCTGGTCCAGGGAAAGGCCAGACCATCAACATCAATGCTCCTCAGGAGGAGAAGCCTGTCCAGTCCTCATGTTGTTAGCTGTGTCCCTGTCCATCTCAGTGCAGCCGTATCTGGATCCAGCCTTTCCACAAGACCACTATCGCTCATATGGGTAGTATCTCTCATTTGACCTGTACAATCGCTTCGGACGTTGGCCAACTTAGGCTTAAGCTATATTAAACAGTAACGGTGTGGCTATGTGGAGTGTCTGGTGAAGCGTTGTGATGTCAGGATGGTTAAGGGATAATGTGTACATCTGGGTCTGTCTGTTACTTTGATTATCATTTACCATGTAAGGCTTCCCACATTTCAGCAACTCATTCCCTTCTATGACCTAAGGCACGTCAGGAAGGGACATTATCATCACATTTTCCACGTTCCATCCTGTGATACTTATTCTAGTGAAAAACGTTTCTGGCGTAATCAGCCATTATAGGTCCGATTTGTGAAAGCTGTACATGAAAGATGCGCAGATCTGTTAGGTTGTCTTTCAAAGGAGCAACCCAACCCAACATCTTTGCTACTTTTTCTTTGATCATCGCTCCTCAGGGATGATCGCAGTCAGCGGTGCTCTTTCCACCTGTCAATCCGCTGTTCGCATCCTGCCTCGCCGCTTTCTCTTGCGGGCTCCCGCTGCTGCCTGCTCGTGCATTTCCGTCGTAGGAGGAGCAGCTGGGACTTTTGAGACAATGCTGCCTCTTACGTTTGCCGTAGCCCGTTCCTGCACTCCGCCTCTTAGCGGAGTCCTTGTGTCTCCGAGACTCAATCATGCGATGGACGCCCGATCGTTAGCTTGCGCGTCTGTTGCACCTCTTGCATTGTTACCAAATTCGCGAAATCGCACGTCGCTTGTGACAACGCCAGCTGTCCGCGTCGCAGCACCCATACCGGCGTCGCTGAGCCGCCTATGGGGTCAGCAGAAATCGCGGGTGCTATGTTCCGCGAGTTCTGCTGCTGCTGAGGGTGATGGTGCATCTGAGCCGTCCGTTGCGGTTGCCGTGGCACAAGCCGAGCCTGCTCAGGAGCAGAACTTGTCACAGTTACAGGCACAGCAGGGGGCAGAGGTGACAGCAGCAGCAGCAGCAGCAGAAGCAGAAGCAAAAGAAGCAGAAGCAACCACAACAGCAGCAGCAGGGGAAAGGGAAGGGAGGTGGCAAGGGTCAGAAAGGCGACGGCGAGAATTTCTCTTCTAAGGAGGCGGTCCGTGGGCTGCGCGTAGCTAAGGTAGGATGCTGACGTGCTGCTGCTGCAGTTTTAGCCTGAGTGATGTGCGTCAATCTGACATGAACAAAACGACAATGATCCTTATGGCACATTCAGAAGTTGTCAGGCTTAAACCCTGAAACCCGATCAGCTGCTAATTGGGCTGCCTGCGTGCCTTAAAGCCCTTCGCGGCATGCTAGGTGTACGATCTCACTTCGTCCACTTTTACAGCTCCTCCACGCTCCTCTTCATCCCTCCATCCATGACACACTCCCTCAAACCCCCCAAACCCGCCATTCCCCCTTCCCATGTCTCTCTCTCCCCCTCTCTCCCCCTCTCCCCCCTTCTCCCCGGCCTGTAGGTGGAGGCCTTGCGCGCGGAGGGGCGCAACCCCTTCGCGTACACCTTCCCGCGCACGCACAGGGCGGCGGAGCTGCAGGAGCGCTTCAGGGCGCTGGGGAGCGGGGAGCAGGCGGAGGGCGGGGAGGTGGTGGCGGTGGCGGGGCGCGTGGTGGCGCGGAGAGTGATGGGGAAGCTGGCGTTTCTCACGCTGAGAGACGAGGAGACGAGCATTCAGGTACGGGGACTTGTTACAGCGGGACAGCTCTTCTACTTCTTCCCTTCCCCTTCTTCCCTGTACCGTCCTCATCACAGTGGCCTGTCTTTCTCTTCCTCCTTCCCTGTACCCTCCGCGCCACTCTTCTAGCCGAAGCTCCGGAGGGTGCGGAGGACTGTTTTTGCGACGCCTCAGAAACTGCCTCACTGTACCTCGCTGCACCACGCTACACCTCGCTGCACCTCACTATACTCCTCCCACGTATCTCCCCGCGCACCACTCCTGCCCGCAGCTGTACTGCAATGAATGAAGCATTGATGGAGGACGCGGAGACATCTCTTCATGAAGCGCCTCAGGGTGCATCCCTGAGTTGGTGGCAAGGCAACTGTTGGTGGCAAGCGCATTTTCCGGCCCACTGAATTTTTGGGTACACTTGCCACCAACTCGATGTGAACAGTTGCCCTGCCACGAACCAGGGATGCACCCTCAATAACTGCCTCGCTGCGCCTTGCTGCGCCTCGCTGCGCCTCACTGCGCTGCACCTCGCTGCGCCTCACTGCGCTGCGCCTCACTGTGTCTCACTACACCTCTCTGCGCCTCACTGCGCCTTGCTGTACCCCCGTGCCCCCGTGCTTACTGCGAACCCCTCCCACCCCCAGGTGTACTGTGAGAAAGCAACAATGGATTTCTCAGAGGAAAGGTCGTTTGCGTTCCTCGGAAGAACTCCTTGGACGTGTGGGACACTGTGGGGGGGGGCCACTGCCCTGCACCTCATTATACCTCACTGTACTCCTCCCCCATACCCTGATTGCAGCTGTACTGTGAGAAGGCAGTGATGGAAGACGCAGAAGAGGGATCATTTGCGTTCCTCAAGAGCACTCTGGACGTGGGGGACATTGTGGGGGCGACAGGCACCATCAAGCGCACCGAACGAGGTGAGACTGAGTGATAGGGAGCGGTGTCTGGTTGTTAGTCGCCTCAACCGCGGACTCAAGAGCACCCTGGACGTGGGGGACATTGTTGGGGCGACAACCATATTCTTGCTACAGGCACCATCAAGCGCACCGAACGAGGTGAGCGTAACTCATAATTGGGAGGGAGCGATGTGGTTGAAGTGAGGGAACGTGCATTTGTTACTCGCTTCAATCACAGCAGACTCAAGAACAAGCTTGGACGTGGGGGCCATTGTGGGCGCCACTGGCACCATCAAGTGCACCGAACTATTTCAGTCCCAGGCTGAGAGAGAGAGATAGAGAGAGGTAGGTGTTGAATGGATGAAACACCTGTCTCTTAGTCCTCTCTCTGTACGTGGGGCATATTGTGGACGCCACTGGCACCATCAAGGTATGGGCGTGCGGTGCAGCGTATGAGCGGGCGGTGCAGCGTATGAGCGGTTGGTGCAGCGTATGAGCGGGCGGTGCAGCGTATGAGCGGGCGGTGCAGCGTATGAGCGGGCGGTGCAGCGTATGAGCGGGCGGTGCAGCGTATGAGCGGGCGGTGCAGCGTATGCGCGAGCGGTGCAGCGCATGAGCGTGCAGTAGGTACGCTGTTAGTCTGTTAATGTGATAGGCTGTTAGGCTGTTAGGTTGTTACGCTGTTATGCTGTTATGCTGCTAGGCTGTTTGGCTGTTACGCTGTTAGGCTGTCGCTGTTACGCTATTAGGTTATTGCGATGTTAGGCTATTACGCTGTTAGGCTGTTACGCTGTTACGCTGTTAGGCTGTTACGCTGTTAGGTTGTTACGCTGTTAGGCTGTTACGCTGTTAGGCTGTTACGCTGTTAGGCTGTTACGCTGTTAGGCTGTTACGCTGTTAGACTGTTAGGCTGTTACGATGTTAGGCTGCTATGTTGTTAGGCTGTTACGCTGTTACGCTGTTAGCCTGTTTACGCTGTTGTGCTGTTACGTTGTTAGGCTGTTACGCTGTTACGCTGTTAGGCTGTTACGCTGTTAGGCTGTTAGGCTGTTAGGCTGTTAGGCTGTTACGCTGTTACGCTGTTACGCTGTTAGGCTGTTACACTGTTATGTTGTTTCGTTGTTAGGCTGTTACGCTGTTAGGCTGTTACGCTGCTACGCTGTTACGCAGTTACGATGTATCACTGTTACGTTGTTAGGCTGTTACGCTGTTACGCTGTTACGCTGTTAGGCTGTTAGGCTGTTACGCTGTAAGGCTGTTAGGCGGTTACACTGTTACGCTGTTAGCCTGTTTACGCAGTTAGGTTGTTACGCTGTTAGGCTGTTACGCTGTTACGCTGTTAGGCTGTTAGGCTGTTACGCTGTTAGGCTGTTACGCTGTTAGGCTGTTACGCTGTTAGGCTGTTATGCTGTTAGGCTGTTACGCTGTTAGGCTGTTACGCTGTTAGGCTGTTATGCTGTTAGGCTGTTACGCTGTTAGGCTGTTACGTTGTTAGGCTGTTACGCTGTTAGGCTGTTAGGCTGTTACGCTGTTAGGCTGTTATGCTGTTAGGCTGTTACGCTGTTAGCCTGTTTACGCTGTTGTGCTGTTACGTTGTTAGGCTGTTACGCTGTTACCCTGCTAGGCTGTTACGCTGTTAGGCTGTTACGCTGTTAGGCTGTTAGGCTGTTAGGCTGTTACGCTGTTACGCTGTTACGCTGTTAGGCTGTTAGGCTGTTACACTGTTATGCTGTTTCGTTGTTAGGCTGTTACGTTGTTAGGCTGTTACGCTGTTAGGCTGTTACGCTGCTACGCTGTTACGCAGTTATGATGTTTCGCTGTTACGCTGTTAGGCTGTTACGTTGTTACGCTGTTAGGCTGTTAGGCTGTTACGCTGTTAGGCTGTTAGGCTGTTACACTGTTACGCTGTTAGCCTGTTTACGCAGTTAGGCTGTTACGCTGTCACGCTGTTAGACTGTTAGCCTGTTACTCAGTTAGGCTGTTACGCTGTTAGGCTGTTACGCTGTTACGCTGTTAGGCTGTTACGCTGTTAGGCTGTTACGCTGTTAGGCTGTTATGCTGTTAGGCTGTTACGCTGTTAGGCTGTTACGCTGTTAGGCTGTTACGCTGTTACGCTGTTACGCTGTTAGGCTGTTAGGCTGTTACGCTGTTAGGCTGTTACGCTGTTAGGCTGTTACGCTGTTACGCTGTTAGGCTGTTACGCTGTTAGGCTGTTACACTGTTAGGCTGTTACGCTGTTAGGTTGTTACGCTGTTAGGCTGTTACGCTGTTAGGCTGTTACGCTGTTAGGCTGTTACGCTGTTAGGCTGTTATGCTGTTAGGCTGTTACGCTGTTAGGCTGTTAGGTTGTTACGCTGTTAGGCTGTTACGCTGTTACGCTGTTACGCTGTTAGGCTGTTACGCTGTTACGCTGTTAGGCTGTTGCGCTATTAGGCTGTTACACTATTACGCTGTTATGCTGTTAGGCTGTTACTCTGTTATACTGTTAGGCTATTACGCTGTTAGGCTGTTACGCTGTTAGGCTGTTACGCTGTTAGGCTGTTACGCTGTTAGGCTGTTACGCTGTTACGCTGTTAGGCTGTTACGTTGTTAGGCTGTTACGCTGTTACGCTGTTAGGCTGTTAGGCTGTTACGCTGTTAGGCTGTTACGCTGTTACGTTGTTAGGCTGTTACGCTGATAGGCTGTACGCTGTTACGCTATTTCACTGTTACGCTGTTATGTTATTACGCTGTTACATTGTTACGTTGTTATGTTGTTACGCTGTTTTGCTGTTACGCTGTTATGCTGTTACGCTGTTAGGCTGTTACGTTGTTAGGCTATTACGCTGTTACGCTGTTAGGCTATTACGCTGTTAGGCTGTTACGCTGTTAGGCTGTTACGCTGTTAGGCTGTTACGCTGTTACGCTGTTAGGCTGTTACGTTGTTAGGCTGTTACGCTGTTACGCTGTTAGGCTGTTACGCTGTTAGGCTGTTACACTGTTACGTTGTTAGGCTATTACGCTGATAGGCTGTACGCTGTTACGCTATTCTAAACACTGTTACGCTGTTATGTTATTACGCTGTTACGCTGTTACGTTGTTATGTTGTTACGCTGTTTTGCTGTTACGCTGTTAGGCTGTTACGTTGTTAGGCTGTTACGCTGTTACGCTGTTACGCTGTTAGGCTGTTACGCTGTTAGGCTGTTAGGCTGTTTCGCTGCTACGCTGTTAGGCTGTTACGCTGTTAGGCTGTTACGCTGTTAGGCTGTTATGCTATTAGTTGGCTGTTACGCTGTTACGCTGTTACGCTGTTACGCTGTTAGGCTGTTACGCTGTTAGGCTGTTACGTTGTTAGGCTGTTACGCTGTTAGACTGTTACGCTGATAAGCTGTTAGGCTGTTACGCTGTTAGGCTGTTACGCTGTTAGGCTGTTACGCTATTAGGCCGTTACACTGTGATGCTGTTACACTGTTATGCCGTTACGCTGTTATGCTGTTACGTTGTTACGCTGTTACGCTGTTAGGCTGTTACGCTGTTAGGCTATTACGCTGTTAGGCCGTTACATTGTTATGCTGTTACGCTTTTATTATGCCGTTATGCTGTTACGTTGTTACGCTGTTACGCTGTTAGGCTGTTAAGCTGTTACGCTGTTATGCCGTTACGCTGTTACGCTGTTACGTTGTTACGCTGTTACGCTGTTAGGCTGTTACGCTGTTAGGTTGTTACGCTGTTAGGCTGTTAGGCTGTTACGATGTTAGGCTGTTACGCTGTTAGGCTGTTACTCTGATAGGTTGTTACGCTGATAGGCTGTTACAATGATACGCTGTTACAATGTTAAGCTGTTACGCTGTTACGCTGTTAGGCTGTTACGCTGTTATGCTGTTACGCTGTTATGCTGTTACGCGGTTACCCTGTTACGCTCTTAGGCTGTTACGCTGTTAAGCTGTTACGCTGATAGGCTGTGAGGCTATTACGCTGTTAGGCTGTTACGCTGTTAGGCTGTTACGCTGTTAGGCCGTTACACTGTTATGCTGTTATGCTATTATGCTGTTACGCTGTTATGCTGTTACGCTGTTACGCTGTTAGGCTGTTACGCTGTTACGCTGTTAGGCTGTTACGCTGTTACACTGTTAGGCTGTTATGCTGTTACGTTGTTACGTTGTTACGCTGTTACGCTGTTAGGCTGTTACGCTGTTAGGTTGTTACGCTGTTAGGCTGTTAGGCTGTTACGTTGTTAGGCTGTTAAGCTGTTACGCTGATAGGCTGTGAGGCTATTACGCTGTTAGGCTGTTACGCTGTTAGGCTGTTACGCTGTTAGGCCGTTACACTGTTATGCTGTTATGCTATTATGCTGTTACGCTGTTATGCTGTTACGCTGTTACGCTGTTAGGCTGTTACGCTGTTACGCTGTTAGGCTGTTACGCTGTTACACTGTTAGGCTGTTATGCTGTTACGTTGTTACGTTGTTACGTTGTTACGCTGTTAGGCTGTTACGCTGTTAGGTTGTTACGCTGTTACGCTGTTAGGCTGTTACGTTGTTAGGCTGTTAGGCTGTTACGCTGTTAGGCTGTTAGGCTGTTACGCTGTTAGGCTGTTAGGCTGTTACGCTGTTACGCTGTTGAACTTTTACGCCGTTAGGCTGTTGTTGATAGAAATGGAGCTCAACTGATTGATTAGTAGAGAAGGCACTAGGCCTTAAATCAAGAATGAAAAATACGGTTTCCGTAAAATACGGTCCGTATTTTACGATCGTATTTTACGGTCAGATTTCAAAAATTCGACCTTATTTTTGTTGGAGTTTTTTCTACTGTTAGAAAAAACGGATCTATGCCTACAAAACCGCTCCCCTACGCTCCTCAAGACAATAGGCGTGCGTCTCGCCTTGTGCGGCTAGAATATTATATGAAAAGCGATTAAAATCGTTTTGCTGAGGGAAAAAATACTCGCGAGTATTTTAACTCGTTGCATTCTTGACCCCTGCGCGACGTGGCAGCGGGGGTTCATAATCGCAATAGGCGAACTCGTCACTTCACGTTTCTACATGACGAAATGTCAGCAAGCTCAAACACGGAACATTTGCATCCTAATTTTTCCAGCTCATGCACTCCCCCCAACCGCTCTAAATCCCGCTGCCTCTACCTAACCCAACCCAACCTTTCAAACATTTGTACCCTGAGACTGGGTGGGATCTAGATCTCACTCGTACCTATTCTGCAGCGACACATTTCCCCATCGCAATAGCGACTGGAGCATCGCGATTTCCTACTAACACGGTCCTGATTGATCCCCCCTTTCCCCACTTTGAAAGAGAGGCTTCGCTCAAGGGGGTCCCCCTGCAATTTCTTTTTACACTTCACTCTTAAAAATTTCGACCGTAAATTACGACCGTATTTTTGAACCAACCCTAAAACAGCACGATCTATCGTATTTTACCGTAAAATACGACCATAAAATACGATTCCGTATTTTACGGTAAATTTTCAAAAATACGACCGTACTTGTGAACCTTGCCTTAAATTCAAACAAGGTTGGGTTGAGCAAAGCTAGGGAAAGGTTGGATAAGAATTTTAGCAAATTTCCAATGGTTAGTTGGCAAATTTGCTGGATTACGAGGGAATCCCATCCAGATAGGGTTGGGATCACAATCTACACCCAACCTACAAATAACCTACAGGTTATAGAATATAAGTGTTGACAGCCTATTTCTAACAGTTATGCTAGGCTGTTATGCTGTTACACAGAGTCGGCGGTGCATCGTATGAGCGTGCGGCGCAGTGTATGAGCGGGCGATGCGGCGTATGAGCGGGCGGTGCAGGGTATGTGCATGCAGATAAGTGTATGTGCGTAAGGTGCAGTGTATGTGCGTTCGGTGCAGGGTACGCACATACACACTGCGACGGTTTAAAGTCGCTTCTGGCCGTTTGCTGGTTTGGTTGCTTCTCCCGCCGGAACTCAACCCTTTCTCTCTCCCCCCCTTTCGTCTTTGCTGCTTGGCATTGTACTGTGCGGTGCAGGGGAGTTGAGTGTGGTGGTGCAGGGCGTGCAGCTGCTGACCAAGTCGCTGCTGCCTCTGCCTGACAAGTGGCACGGGCTGGCAGACGTGGAGATTCGCTACCGCCAGAGGTGCGTAGGGGGTGGGGAGGAAGCTAGGAGGCGATGGGGGCAGTGTTGATGGTTTCAAGGGGGTTTGATCTGTTCAGGCAGGCCCCCAAGTGGCACGGGCTGGCAGATGTGGAGATTCGCTACCGCCAGAGGTGTGTGCGTGGGGTTGGGTGGGTGCAAAGAGCGATGGATGGGTGGAGAGGGGTTGGGGGTCTAAAGGGAATTCGCTTGGCCACCTAGTGACGCGGGCTGGCAGACATGGGGATTCGCTACCGCCAGAGGTGTGCTGGGGGGAGGGAGGGGACAGTGCCTTACAGGGTTTGATTCTAAAGGGATTCGCTTGGCCACCAAGTGGCGCGGGCTGGCAGAGACGTGGAGACTCGCTACCGCCAGAGGTGCATTGGGGGGGGGGGTGGTTGGAGGGGAGAGGTGCTGGGAGGTGCTGGGTGGAGGGGAGGGGACAGAGGGTTTCATTTGTTCAGGCCTCCAAGTGGTACAGGCTGGCAGGCGTGGAGATTCGCTATTGCCAGAGGTGCGTGCTTGGGGAGGGGCGCTGGGAAATGAGGCGTTGAGGAGTTGGGGTGGAGGGTTGAGGGTCCTATGGGTTTGTTCGGCCGCCAAATGGCAGATGTGGAGATTCGCTGGGTGCGATTAGGGAAGTGGCGATGAGGGAAAGATTCTGGGGGGAGGAAAGATTAGGGCGCTGGGGTCGACTCAGTTTCCCCGCACCCCCCCTTCCCCCCTACCTGCTCCCTCTCCCACTGTGCGGCGTGATTGTCAACCCCTCTGTGACTAAGTCAACTCAAACGCCCTATCCTGCTTTTCTGCCCCCCCTCTCGCGTTCCAACCTCCCACCTCTCTCCCTGTCCCCCTTATGCTGTGTGCAGGTATCTGGACATGATCGTCAACCCCTCTGTGGCATCCGTTTTCAGAGCGAGGGCCAAGGTGGGATGCTTTTTCCCAGTCAGCTCAGGAAGCAAGTATAGCGAGTTGACTCAAAAAAGAGCTCTGCCTGCCAATAGACCTACCTGCCAATAGACCTACCTGCCAATAGACCTACCTGCCAATAGACCTACCTGCCAATAGACCTACCAGCCAATAGACCTACCTGCCAATAGACCTACCTGCCAACAGACCTACCAGCCAACAGACCTTCCTGCCAATATCCCTACCTGCCAATAGACCTACCTGCCAATAGACCTACCTGCCAATAGACCTACCTGCCAATAGACCTACCTGCCAATAGACCTACCAGCCAATAGACCTACCTGCCAATAGACCTACCAGCCAATAGACCTACCAGCCAATAGACCTACCTGCCAATAGACCTACCAGCCAATAGACCTACCAGCCAATAGACCTACCTGCCAATAGACCTACCTGCCAATAGACCTACCTGCCAATAGACCTACCTGCCAATAGACCTACCTGCCAATAGACCTACCTGCCAATAGACCTACCAGCCAATAGACCTACCTGCCAATAGACCTACCTGCCAATAGACCTACCTGCCAATAGACCTACCTGCCAATAGACCTACCTGCCAATAGACCTACCGAACAATAGACCTACCAGCCAATAGACCTACCAGCCAATAGACCTACCAGCCAATAGACCTACCAGCCAATAGACCTACCAGCCAATAGACCTACCAGCCAATAGACCTACCAGCCAATAGACCTACCAACCAATAGACCTACCAGCCAATTGACCTCCCAGCCAATAGACCTACCAGCCAATAGACCTACCAGCCAATAGACCTACCAGTTAGACCTACCAGCCAATAGAGCCAATAGACCTACCTGCCAATAGACCTACCAGCCAATAGACCTACCAGCCAATAGACCTACCAGCCAATAGACCTACCAGCCAATAGACCTACCTGCCAATAGACCTACCTGCCAATAGACCTACCTGCCAATAGACCTACCTGCCAATAGACCTACCTGCCAATAGACCTACCAGCCAATAGACCTACCTGCCAATAGACCTACCTGCCAATAGACCTACCTGCCAATAGACCTACCAGCCAATAGACCTACCTGCCAATAGACCTACCTGCCAATAGACCTACCTGCCAATAGACCTACCTGCCAATAGACCTACCTGCCAATAGACCTACCAGCCAATAGACCTACCAGCCAATAGACCTACCAGCCAATAGACCTACCTGCCAATAGACCTACCTGCCAATAGACCTACCTGCCAATAGACCTACCTGCCAATAGACCTACCAGCCAATAGACCTACCAGCCAATAGACCTACCAGCCAATAGACCTACCTGCCAATAGACCTACCTGCCAATAGACCTACCAGCCAATAGACCTACCTGCCAATAGACCTACCTGCCAATAGACCTACCTGCCAATAGACCTACCAGCCAATAGACCTACCAGCCAATAGACCTACCTGCCAATAGACCTACCTGCCAATAGACCTACCTGCCAATTGAACTACCTGCCAATAGACCTACCTGCCAATAGACCTACCAGCCAATAGACCTACCTGCCAATTGACCTACCTGCCAATAGGTGCCCACAGTTAATCAGGGTCATCCGGCAGCACATTGACTCGACTCAGAAGCCCTCCCACAAGCACCCACCCGCTGTATCTGCTCCTGTGTGTTTGCTGTGGCGACGGCTGCATGTGTGCAATGCATGGGTGTGGCATTGCATGGGTGCAGGTGATCAAGGCCATTCGCCAGCACATGGAAGACAATTGTTTCGTTGAGATCGAGACGCCTGTGCTGCAGGTGCGTGCCTGCTTCCCCTGCCACCACTGCCGCACCTGCTGCTGCATTGCTGTGTGTATGTGTGCGGGGAGAGGGGATGGGACAAGTGAAGCTTGGAGTGTGTTCTGCGTGCATTCGTATGCTAGTGCGTGCGTGCATGCATGTGTGTATCAATCAGTACAACAATTCCACTTGCACATGTATACTCCACATGTTTTCTCAATTTTCTCCTTCTTCCTCCCTCCCCGCTCCTCCCTTCGCCTTCCCTCTCCCCCTATACCTCCCTTGCACGTGATCCCAAGGCAGGGCGAGGCGGGGGGAGCGGAGGCGAGGCCATTCATAACGCACCACAATGCACTGAACCAGGACATGTTCCTGCGCATTGCCACAGAGCTGCACCTCAAGCGCATGCTGGTGGGTTGCAGCGCAGTGAAGTGAAGTTCAATGCAGTGCTGTGTGGTGCTGTGTGGTGCTGTGCTGCTGTGCTGCTGTGCGCTGCTGCTGTGCAGTGCTACGCCAGGACATGTTCCTGCGCATCTCCACAGAGCTGCACCTCAAGCGCACGCTGGTGGGTGGGTGTAGTGCGGTGCAGAGCAGTGCAAGGGTGTAGTGCGGTGCAGAACAGTGCAGTGAACGTTTGCTCTGCTGCTGTGTCGCAACAGGACATGTTCCTTCGCATCGCCACAGGACATGGTTTCTCTTTCTTGGCTTGCTCATCCCTCCATCTTCTGCATCCGTCTCTCTCTCTGGGTACGGCTCATCTCTATCTGCAGGTGGGGGGCTTTGACAGGGTGTACGAGATAGGGCGCATATTCCGCAACGAGGGCATATCCACACGCCACAATCCCGAGTTCACCTCTATCGAGGTATGCCCCTGCTGCCCCTTACTTTCCTCACCTGCTCACATGCCACAACCCCAAGTTTGAGTTCACCTCCATTGAGGTACGCCCTGCTGTTCTGCTTCCTTGCCTTGTCCTGCTGCCCCTTGCTTCCCTCACCTGCTCACACGCCACAACCCCGAGTTTACATCCATTGAGGTATGCCCGCTTTCTTTGCTCGCTTCGCTTCTCCCCCTGTCCCATTTCCCCCTGCCCCCTTCTCCCCTCACTCTTCACCCCCTCACCCACTCGCCCACTCAACCTCCTCATCCGCTTCCCCCGCCCCACTTACCTCCACCCCACCAGCTCTACCAGAGCTACGCGGACTACAGTGACATGATGTCTCTCTGCGAGGAAATGGTGGAGAGCGCCGTGCTCGCTCTCCACGGCACCACAACAGTGGCCTACCAGGGCACGCCCATCCAGTGGGCGCGCCCCTGGCGCCGCGCGTCCATGGACTCGCTCGTTCTGCACGCCACTGGGGTGGACTTCCTCTCTGCTCAGCTTGCAGGGGACCTTGCTGCCGCTAAGGAGGCGGCCATTCGCGCTGTGCGAGAGGCCGGGTCGAGTGCGGGAAGTGCGGGGGGTGTGACTGAGACCGATGCTGCTGCTGGTGATGCTGATGCTGATGGTGCTGGTGCTGACGGGGCTGCAAGCAGCAGCAGCAAGGTGAATCGCAAGGCGGTGGCAGCAGCGGTGCGGAAGATAGAGGAGGCGGGGAGCGTGGGGGCGGTGCTCAACTGTGTGTTTGAAGCAGTTGTGGAGAGCACACTAGTGCAGCCCACGTTTGTGACCGATCATCCTGTTGAAGTTTCTCCCCTCGCCAAGCCGCACAGAAGGTATGTGAGAAGCATGGCAAGGCCCACAGGAGGTGAGTGGGAATTAAGGAGGCGGGGAGCGTGGGGGCGGTGCTCAACTGTGTGTTTGAGGCTGTGGTGGAGAGCACGTTGGTGCAACCCACGTTTGTGACCGACCACCCCATCGAAGTCTCTCCCCTCGCCAAGCCACACAGAAGGTGAGCCAAACCCTACCAGAGGCATGCGAGAGTCACATTAGAGGTGAGTTCTCTGAACGGTGTGAGTGAGAGTTCCCTGTCAGTATCGGAGCAGTCTCATAAGTCCCTCACTTGCTTCTTGCTCCCGACCCTCTTGCAACTCCCTTGTGATCCCTAATTTCCTGTAATGTCCTCTCAGCCGGCCGGGATTAGCAGAGCAGTTTGACTCACGAGTTCCTCTATTACGCCCTTCTTCCCACCCAACCTCCTTGCAACCCCCACTATGCCCCTGGTTCCCTCTCAGCCGGCCTGGGCTGACAGAGCGCTTTGAGCTCTTTGTGTACGGCCGAGAGCTCGCCAATGCCTTTTCTGAACTCACCGACCCTCTCGACCAGGTGAGATGCATTGCGGTGACAAGTGGTTGTGTGAGGTAGAGAAGAGTCCTGACATGTTTTCCAAGGTATCCTTGGCTCTCTGGTAGCTGGGTTGACAGAGAGCTTTGAGCGCTTTGAGCTCTCTGTGTATAACCGAGAGCTCGTTTTTTAGGCGCCTCAAAAAAGGCTCTCTGGTAGCTGGGTTGACAGAGCGCTTAGGGAGCTTTAAGCTCTTTGTGTCTAACCGAGAGCTCGCCAATGCCTTGTCTGAGCCCACCGACCCTCTCGACCAGGTGAGTGGGGATGCAGTGCGGTGACGTACGGTTGTGGAGTGTCCTCAGTTCTCGGGTTGCTGCACCTTCAGCCAGGTTGTGTAGTATTTGTCTCACATGCCGCAAGCTGCTTTCGAGCCAAGCGGGAGAGAGAGAAAGAGAGAGGGACATGTGATCCCACCGCTCCTGACCCCTCTCCTCTTGAATTCTCGGCCATTGTGCCTTTACGACTAGGGAGTTACACTCCACAGCACATTTTCATGATCTCATTTTTCTTTCCCGACTCTCTCTCACACACACACACGTGTGCAGAGGGCTCGCCTGGAGGAGCAAGTGAAAAAGCACGCAGGCAAGCTGGCCAGAGCCGAATCTGCTGCCGCAGCAGCAGCAGCTGCTGCTGGTGCTGGTGACAAGCAGGAGCAAGGGGCGAAGGGGAAGGGGGCAGCAGGAGGAGGAGGAGGAGGAGGAGGATGAGGAGGCGTATGAGGTGCGGCTGGATGAGGACTTTCTCACGGCGCTGGAGTATGGCATGCCGCCCACCGCCGGCATGGTGAGTGCAGTGCAGTGCAGCTTGTTGACTTTTGAGTCGACTCAAAAGTCAACTTGCGATGGGGATTGGGGCGGCCTTTGAGGTGCGGCTGGATGAGGACTTTCTCACAGCGCTGGAGTGTGGCATGCCGCCCCCCCACTGCCGGCATGGTGAGTGCAGTCCCGTTCCAGGTGTAGAATCGTTCCTTGTGCTGACTCGTTTCAAGTGCGGTTTCGTCTCAAGTGCAGTTGCATTCCGGGGTAGGTCGCTGCATTGTCGGGACATGCATTGTCTCGATCACACCGCTCTTTTCTTTTGTTTCCGTTCGTTCCTTTCTTTCTTTGAATCCTGGAAGTTAATGTGCTTCCTCCTACAATTCTCCTGCATGACGCCTTATCATGCATGCTTCCCTCACATGATGCGTTCAGGGCATTGGCATTGATCGCCTGGTGATGTTTCTGACTGACAGCCCCAGCATTCGGGATGTGATAGCATTCCCAGTCCTCAGGGCTCTCCCTTCTGAGTCCACTGCGGCATCATCTTCATGACAAGTTGCTGACGGTAATGCTTCACGTCACAGCTGTTATCTCAGTGGCGATTTGCTAAAAGATTACTTACAAGGAAAATATCCTTCTGGACTGACATCAGCTGGTGGTTTTGTAGTATCCCATTTCAAACATGCAGCGGTATAATGAGTAACACCTCTAGACAACTGTTGTCGCTAAGCCATGTAACTCGAGGCAGCTGGTATCGAGGTCCGTACTGGAATTTTTTCTTGCCCATTCTGCCTCTTGACCATCTCTTTGATGTGCCATCTTCCAGGTATGATTGCGTGTGTGTCTTCCACGTGACGGATCCTAATTCGCCCTGCAAGTTTTAGATCCTTGTCAGCCACAAATCATGGAACATGCAGGACAGGCCGCAAGTCGGCGAATTGAACACGACCATGTTAAAGATGAAAAGACTCTTCCCATTGGTGTTCATCTTTCTAGACCGATTTCGTTCACGACTTCTATTGGAAAGAAGCTCAATCCCAGCCCGTCAACGAAAGCCCTCCACTAACGAAGGCCAATGTCGCACAGCTCGAAGCTTCGAAAAAGCGACGCCCATCGGCTCAGAACGAAAGAGCCCGAAAGAGCGATTCGGGATCGTAAGGAAACTAGCGAAGACAAGGTCGTACATGCGACACATCATCATCTCGCACCGGTAACCCTTGCATGTCTTTGCATGTGAATGATCGCACACGTTTCGACTGGAAAGTTCCAGGCACATATCGTCCCGCATTTCGCTGGCCCCTAAAAAATACACGTTTTTTTTGCGTAGTATAGACCATAAGTGGTTTATGGAATAACCCTTTTCGGAAAATGTCTGATGTTGGGAACGTTGTCCGTGGTTGCGTCACTGGTCCAGGTCTTTTTCCACCCTCGAGCACCGCAGATTACATCCTCGTTTCAAGCCAGTGCATATTCATTGCAGCTGGGAATTCTTCACCACTTTCAGGGACTACGTTGTTTCGCAAGCCTTGTCCACTGACGGGGCTGCAAACATCCCGAGAAATTTGTGTAGCACGCGGATTCCCCAAATATTTCTCTCGCTTTTCTCATTGCGCCGACAAACCCATATCCTTCTTGACAGACAGCCAAACCTGTCTTCTGTTTCCCTTCTCAGCACGTTTCCTCGATTTACCTGCTCGCCCCTTCCTCCGCCAACATGGGCATTCCCTATCAGCCATACCAGGACCCGACCGTTCCCATTCCAAGCACGCGGCTTCCGCGCGAAGGCGACTCCGCCTTCGCGGCTTCCCCGAGTCGAAGCATCGCGCTCGTTAACAGTCCGAGCATTCTCAACGAGCATGATTCCTCACGAGCAATCCCCCACGAGCCTCTCTCCGCATCAAATCTCTCCACGCACGTGTCTGTGCGACTCCTGAGCGACGGCGGCGCGGAGCAGCTGTTTAAGATGCGTCGCTCGGCGCGCTTGGCCTTCCTGCTCGACCTCTACTGCCAGCGGCGCAGCGCGGAGCGCGCGTCAGTGCAGCTGTGGTTCAACGGGCGGCTCGTGGACGATTTCGCGACGCCGGATGATCTGCGCATGGGGGTTTCCGACTCGGTACGAGTCATGGAGTGCCACTGACCAGCACACATGGGCCGTCACCGCCGCCGCCGCCGCCGCCGCCGCCGCCACCGCCGCCGCTGCTGCTGCAGCTGTCGTGGTTGCTGTTTTTTACCTGGCAGCACTGCGCTAGGCTAACGTGTGGAGCCAGTATGACGGATGACGAGGCGCTTCAGCCACTCGTAAGCGCCCGTCACAACTGGAGCTCTACGCGCAATGTACGCCGGAGCTCGACGTGGGTGTGAGGTTCATCTGCGCTGACTTCAACTCGCGGGCGAGATGCTCGGGGTGCGAGGTGCTCTGGCGCGAGGTGCTCTGGCGCGAGGTGCTCGCGTGCGAGGTGCTCTGGCGCGGCTCAACACGAGTTGCGCTGCAAGAAAGCTCAAGTCTGCGCGCAACGGAAGCTTCAGCAGCGCGTAATGGATTGGAGGTCCAAGTTCGGCTGGTCAATGTGCACTCTCCTATACTTCCTCGGGGTGGCGTTCCGTTGCTTAGATACGGCAAAGAATATCGTGTTCTGAGTCCCAAGCTTCTAGTGTTCTACAGTACAGTCAGCACACGCATCATTGAAGGTGTTTCTTTCTGGTGCATTTGGTGCTGTGCTGTTTTGTCCCTGCTGTACCTGCTCTTTGTACTGGTATACCGTATTACTGCGTCCTTTCATCTTTCTCACCTTTCCTAGGACAGTTTGTAAAATGAATGGAAAGAGGACATTGAGTTGAGTGGTGTAGAGTGGATGGTGTGGTGTAGCGTGTGGAGTGGTAATTAGATAGTGGCATGGTGCTTGGCTCCCAAACCGGTAGTCAGGCCTTTCGTTATCCGTGTAATTTACTCTGTTTCTCTGAAAATCAGAGTGGTTTTTAGGGGGGCACTCTGTACCTGCTGGGTAATTTTTTTAAGAGTTACTTGTTCTCTGATCTGCCACGGTTTTTGTTTAAGGTCACTCTGGAGCGCCAGTGTTTCTTTCTCGGATAGTGAGTTTGCTCTAAACGGGGGATACATGTACCCCCCCGACCCCCCACGTTCCCCCTGTCAAATGTTGTAGCCTATAGTGAGGTTTGTCTTAGGGGGTACAAAACTTAGGGTTAGCTATATGTACCCCAACCAACATCAATGCATCATCCATTCTTCATTCTGACATGGTATCAGTTAGGTTAGGATCCTGTGGGATCCCGTTCCTCCGTTCTCCGTTCGAGCCTCCCGAGCCTGATCCTAGCTCTCATTCGTCCCGGTTCCGTTGTTACCGCGCGTAGTGCCGCGCCTAGCGCCACTCCTAGCGCCCGTCCGCGCCACCCGTTCCCCTCGTTCCGTAGCGCCCGCCCTTACCCCCCCGTCGCGTCGCGTTCCCCCCCCACGTCGTGTCGCGCCCGTTCCCCCCGTCGCGTCGCCGCCCATTCCCCCCGTCGCGTCGCGCCTTTTCCCCCCGTCGCGTCCTGCCCGCCCTTTCCCCCTCGTCGCGTCCCTTTCCCCCCGTCGCGTCCTGCCCGCCCTTTCCCCCTCGTCGCGTCCCTTTCCCCCCGTCGCGTCCTGCCCGCCCTTTCCCCCTCGTCGCGTCCCTTTCCCCCCGTCGCGTCCCGCCCGTCCTTTCCCCTCGTCGTGCCCCTTTCCCCCCGTCGCGTCCCGCCCGTCCTTTCCCCCCCGTTGGGTCCCTTTCCCCCCGTTGCGTCCCGCCCGTCCTTTCCCTCCGTCACGGCCCGCCCCTTCCCCTTTCCCCTGTAGCGGCCCGCCCTTTCCCCTGTAGCGGCCCGCCCTTTCCCCTGTAGCGGCTCGCCCCTTTCCCCAGCCCGTCGTCTTAACCCTAGCCTGCTCTTCCGCTGCCACTGTATCCCTAGCGTTAGTTCTCGCTATGGCGACTCCGCGTGTGCTTCGTTTCGACGCTGACGGTAGACCTCTTGATTTTTCCGTCTGGCTTCTTCGTGCTCGCCGTCTGTTAGAGAGTCAGGTCCAGGCAGGCGAGACCCTCTGGGCGCACGCTACTGGTGCCCTACCTGCGCCCCCCGACCCTACGCCTTTAGGACCTGCCCCTGACGAAGCCGCTAGAGCCCGCTTTGCCACTCAGCGAGCTGACCAGACGGCTTGGACGTCACGTGACGCTGCGGCCTGCATCGCGCTCAGCAGCCTCCTCCCTGAGTCTGAGGAGGTTCACTTCACTCAGGTTCGCACCGCTGCTGAGTACCTCACTGCGATTAAGGCCCGCTACTCTTCTCCCGCCGCTGTCTCTCTTGGCCGCCTGTTCCTCCCGTTCCTGTTTCCTGACCTAGCGTCTTTTGAGCGCTCTGCTGACTTGATCGCTCACCTCCGCTCGCTCGACGCTAGTTACCGCGCTGCTTGCACTGAGGCACAGCTTGCACTGCTTCCTCCCCCTATGGCGATTACTATCTATTTCATCGCCACTAGCCTCCCTGACCGCCTTGCCTCCGTTCGCGACGCGCTTCTGCTGAAGCACCCTAGTGAGCTCACCGTCGATGTCCTTGAGTCTACACTCAAGGACGTCGAGAGCAACCTTCGCTCGGTAGCCGCTGCCTCTGGTGCTGTGCCCCCCCCACTCTTCCACGGGTGCACAGTCCCGCAGTTACCCACCTTTACTGCCTCACTTGCCACTGCCGCTACTGACGCGACTGCAGCTGCTGTTACGACTGCGTCGCGGTCCCGCGGTAGGAGTGGCAAGAAAGGCGGTTCTGGTGGTGGTAGTGGAGGTGGAGGCGGAGGTAGTGGAGGTGGCGTTGCGCCTGGCGGCGGTGGAGGTTCAGGGCCTGGAGAGGCGCCTCGTGCAGTGACTGGTGACTCCACTGCGCCTGCTGGTGGTGGCGACGCCCGAGTTCGTCAGTCGCCTCCTGTACTTCCTGCCCCGGTTGGTGGAGCAGCGGCGTGGTACCAGGCTCAGCGTCAGCAGCAGCTTCTGCAGCACCAGCAGCCCCTCTCCTCCCAGCAGCCTCAGCAGCAGCAGCGGCAGCAGCTGGCTCCAGGGTCGGGGCTGCGTCAGACCCAGCGTGGTACTGCTTACACTCCCTGCACCTACCAGGTTCTGACAGGCCCTCGTCGTGGCCACCCTTGTGGCCGGTTTCACCCCCCTGGTCAGTGCTTTGCTCAGCTCACTGACACGGTTCGTTTGGTCTACGGGGTTGGTGCTCCTGCCCCTGACTGGCTGCCTCTTGTTCAGCGCTACGGCTCCGCTCTGTGGGGCATGTCTGCTGAGCAGTTAGTTGATCTGATTGGTACTCCCCATGCTATGTATGCTGTTGTTGACTCTAGTGTTTCTGACTCTGCTTACTCTGGTGTTGTTAGCTTAGGTGCTAGCCTTGCTCAGTTGCCTGTTGCTAGTGTAGGTTCTTGTGTAGACTCTAGTCCAGCGGCTACCTCAGAGGACGGTTCGCTGTCGTTCACGCTGGACTCTGGAGCCTCTCACTGCTTCTTTCGTGACAGCACGACACTTACG